AAAAAATACAGGGGATGGAGTTGCCTTTCAAGAGTTTGGTTGTTTGTGCTTTACAGATTTGGCCATAAAGTCATAAATTAGGAAACAGTCTCAATGGGTGAAAATCCTTTCAAAGAATCATCCAGTCTAGTCTTGACTTAATACTTGGAAAGCTCTTCTTCATAACTAACCTAACATGGTCTTGCTATGATTCACGGAAAAGCCACATTGCGTTAACTTCAGCCTCGAGAGGAAAATCTCCCAGGCAATCATACAAAGCTGTGAAACTATCACGGTAAACTCATGATCAGAGAGATGATAGGAGTTAGGAATAATTGAGGATTTCAGGTAATTGCTGGCTCAAAATGTCCGATTTCACTTTCTGGACATAGTAGCCTTCACTCCTCTTTCTCTTCTTCAGTGGTCTCATTTTAATCTGCATTTGGATTGCATTTCACTGGAACATCTCAAGTGCTGGCCATTGACTTTCTAAAATGGAGAGGCTTAAGGCAACCATTATTCCACAGAGCATCCTCTGCTATATTAAATATATTCCACCTAGCATCCCAGGTGACTTTTCAAAACATGTCCTCATTCATTCAACCTCTTCTGAACTAAATGTTCCTGTCACTGCTTTGCAAGGTTTGGCCTCAGTACAACCCTGGGGACTGAAGGGAACTCCTACAAGAAAATGAGAAACTCAAAATGCCACATCTCCTTATAGATGAGCCTTCCATAGGGTGTCTAGTCACTCCAGACCCTCCCTCTGAAAAAGACACTCAAACCAGACTTATTTAGTTCTACCTCATCGCAGAACGTCACCACTTCTCTCCATTTTTCAAACCAAAGGCCTAGAAGTCATTATTAATTACTGTATGCCTCTCCTAGAACATCAGTGAGTCCTGACCCTTCAACCTCCAAATTTTATCTCCATTATATCACCTTCTTACCAACTCCACTCAAATCAGCCTTTAAACAAAATAATTATGTCTCATCATAACAGCTTCCCCCTGATCGCCCAATTATTACTCTAGCTTCCTTGCCATCCATTATTTTTAGGCAAATAAAAACATTATAATCTTACACTCAGAAATCACCGCCATGGTTAACGCTGTCTTCATACATCTTTTCTGTGAGTGTATGTGTAATATACATACATTGTTTCTTAACCAAATTGAAAATATATTTCCCCTACTCTTTTATAACTTTTTTCTAGTTGATAATATCACCTGTGCATTTCAGTAATTTCTAAAATTTCTCCAATGATCCTGAAATGTCTTTACAGCTTCTTTCCCCCTAATTCAACACCATACTTTAATCATACTCATAACCTAGCATAGTCCCTCTCTTCTGTTTCTGACTTCCTGAAAAGACTGAGCCAATTTTCTTAACATCCTTCCTTCACAAAGAAGTCTGACATTTGTTTCTGTAAATGTAAATCAGATTAGTTGACCCCCTTTTTTAAACATATTAAGAGCCTCTCACTGTATCTAGAGTAAAATCGAAACTTCTACTATGGCCTACAGGCCTTATGATCTGGCCTCTGCCCAACCTCACTGACTTAACCTTCTAACTACTCTTCTCACAAAGTACCAGTCATACAGGCCTAATCTCTGGTCCTCAAAGATGCCAAGCTTTTCTTATCTCAGCACCTCTGTGCTTGCCCTCTTCTTTCTGACATTCTCATAGTCTTCAGGTCTCAGTTCACATTATACTGCTTCTGAGAAGTCATCCATTTTCCAATATAAAGTAATCAATGTCCCCTATCTTTGGTGACTCCTAATGAACCAACCATGCCTCTGTTTCATGCCCTTGTGTGACCCTCTCCCACACTGACTCTGGGCTTGCCCATGTGACTTGATTTGGCCAATGGGACATCCAAAAACATGACAACCAGCTATGCTTTGAGAGCACTTATACACTGGGGCTTGTGCACTTACTAGTAGTGTCCAGCTGCCATTCTATAAAGAAGCGTGGGGAGGAATATGGAATGACGACCAAGTGAAGAGACCCTAGAGGGTGAGAAGTCATCTTGGGATCTTCCAGCCCCAACTGACCTCCCAGCTGAATTGAATTACATGAGTAACTTTAGCTATCACACATGGAGGAGGAGGACCACTCAGTTACTCCAGTCAAACTCAAGAATCGAGAGAATTAATAAATCATTGCTGTTCTAAGACAGTACTTTTAGGTTGGTTTTCACACTGCAACTGATAAGTTTTTTTCTTTTAGTCTTTCCTGTTGACCTGATTATTTCCCATCTTCTGCCATTGTAAGCTCCATGATAATAAAAATTTTTGCCTGATTATTTACCAGTGTATCTTCAATGCTTCTGAGAGTACCTGGCACCTAGTAGGCACCCAATAAAAATTATATAGTGAATGAATGATATATGCATCCCTATGTTCATAGCAGTACAATTTACCATAGCTAAGATTTGGAAACAGCCTAAGTGCCCATCAGCAGGAGAAAACTGTGGTACATCTACACAATGGAATACTATGCTGCTGTAAAAAAAAAGAAGGAATTCTCACCATTTGCAACAGCATGGATGGAACTAAGCATAACCAATGGACATAAGACACTGGGGGGTAGGGGAGGCTGGGAGAATGTCAAGGTGGGAAAAAAAGGAGACATATGTAATACTCTTTGTAATACTTTAAACAATAAAACAAAATTTAAAAACATTAATGCCAGTGACTGAAAATAAAAATAAATAAATAAAATAAATTATATAGTGAATGAATGAATAAAAAGCTCCAAGACTCTTAAGGAAAGTTTAGGAAAACTGTATAAAAGACAAGCTGAAGTAACTTCAAAACACATTTAGGCCAATTTTTCTTGTTATTGGTGAGGAAATGGTAAGCCAGAGAGTAAGAGGACATGTTGTTTTAATCAAGGCTTGCACAAAAGGAGAGAATCTGCAGAAGCTCTATTCTGGAAGGCAGACCACTCAGAGAGTGTGAGGAGTCCCAGATGCAAGAATACAAAATACTCTGAATGTACTCAAAGGCAAGTGATATCTGCAAATAAGATTTCAGACTGGAGGCACCTGCTTTCCTGAACTCCACTGAACTAGAGCTCAGTGGTGCTGGGCAAGGTGGTCATGGGCATAGGCCTGCTCTTTGTGGGAAACCTCTGAGCTGTCACTATTGCACATCTAGACTCTAAATGCCTGCCAGTGACCTAGACCTAGACCTCCACAGAATCCTGGTCCTCCAACTCCTACTGTAGTACTTTTCCATGCCAACACCCTGCCCCTGAACTGTGAATGCATTTTCTTTAAAAAAAACAAAAAAACAAACAAAAAAACACACCATAATATCACCCAGTTTTACTCTGTGACACTGATCCAAGTATCTACATGGCCAGCTCACCAGTCTCTGTTCAGTGTTTGCAATACGTCAGGCCCTCTGCTAATGGTTTCCAAGAATTATTTTATTTAAAGGTCATAGCACCTCTTATAGGCAAATACTATTCTTATTCCCATTATACCAGTGAATAACCTATGCATCAAATCATTTAGGTAACATGTCCAAGGTTAACAGCAAAAAATCAGGGAAGGAGTTCTGCTTCAACTCTCTATGTGCCAATCTGCAAATCTTACAATCTGCTGCCTTCTCTCCATGAGCCCTCAACCCTGGATACACCTTTATAGCAATTTTCACTGGAAGGTGCCTCATTCTTTTAAGTTTGAATTCATTGTCAGGCCTAAACTAAGAATTATTGAATGTTTATTTGATATGTCAGACCTCCCAAGTAATTTAGGAATAGATCCTGCCTTACCTTCACCCAAAGTATCTAATCTTGCATTTTTTTTCAAATCTGCTGGCAGAATACTCAGGAATATATTTTAAGATAGAGGAGCTATAAGAGCTTGGCTATATGAACAATAACTTCCCCCATATCTGTATTTTGGCATATTCTGTCCTGTGTAAATACTTAGTTATAAGTATTGTAAATAAGAAGTCACTTTATTTATAACCTCAAGCTTAAGGAATCACAAAGACCATTTACTCAAGGTTTTTAGTACGATATCCTTCTCTTTCCATCCTTTCATGCAAGTACAGTATATAAAGAGTTAGAATCATGGTTCTCTGATTTAAGTTGGTGTGTGTGTGGTGGTGGGGGGCGGGGGGTGCGGGGGAGCTGTGGCTGCAGTGGCAAGGATAGGAAGAAATAGTGATTCCAGGCTCCTTAGCTTTCTGCTTTTGCCAGACAACCTGAGGCTAGAGAAAGTCACCTACTCAAGGTCACACAGTTTTCCAGCAGACCATGTAGTTCCTAGGGAGTGCTGGCACTTAGCACATTGGTGCTAACATGCACAACTTAATTCAGGGTATGCACCAGTTCTTTACGTAGTTAGTAGGCAGTGTTTTTCCTTCTTCTGCCCCAGCTGACTCTAAGAATTACTTCTCCCATTTCCCAGGCCTTGGATTCCCTTGTGCTGCACGCTGGTTGCTGCCTCCAGACTGGGTTGCTTAGCAACCAAGCTCTGCAGGCTTTCTAATAGACAAAGGCTTTTCCTTCCAGTCCAACTGCTGCACTAAGGCTCATTGTTGACAAGGGAACAACTCCTTGCTGAGCATACGCTATAATCTGGAGGCTGCTTTGGGGACTTGGTGCTAGGAACTCTAGACATCTCGCCTCAACAGAGAGGAGGAATGGAAGTTTTTGAGGACCATCTCGTATTCCTCAGACTCTTTCCTGCACTGATAGATGACTTTGCCTGCATTTCCACGTGGTCACTCAGGAGGCATTCTGTTTACAGGGGCATCTGAGTTCAGAGAATAATTCACATTGCCATCTCCTTGTCCCATGCAACCCCCAAAGAAGTCATCTAATAGTGCAAGATACACAAGCATGCAGTTGGGAATTGTTTCATGCATATCAATTAAATGGCTCAGATTCCAGCTCCGTTTCACTAGAAACCCTTGCATCCATCTCACTTTATCCGACCCTCATCAAGGTAGGCAGACAAGGAACAGTACTACCCCTTACAAAAAGATGAAGAGACTTACCCAAAAGTAGACATTTGAAAAGGAGTCGAAGCTTATTCTTTATGACCAGCCTTCCAGAGTTCTCCAGCTCCATCCGGGTGCTTGTTCAACTCTGGAACAGGTGCCCCTTCGTGTGAAATTGGTGGCTTGCCTGTAGAGAAAGGAGGGCAGAAGATCATTGTCTAAATTAGTAAATAAGCTTGGAGAAATGTAACAATTTATTCTGGGTTACTTAGCAAAGCTGTGACCCCCTTATCTTTCTGAAGCAAAGCAATTAACCATTAAATATGCTATTACTGATGTTTCGGTGGTTTTATTATGAGACAGCAGGTGGATGCATTTAGAAACACATGCAAGCAAAGAATTTTAAAGATAGATTATTGGCAAAGTGCAATTAATACATTCCACTATTGGATATGACAGAGTTTTATAATCTGCGCTTTCCAAGCAAAAGGCAAGATAAACTTAGGAGAATAAGCATTGTGTCTATTTCCCTTGCCTTTGTGTCTTCTGTATGACTCCACAGAGCCTGGCATACAGAAATCATATCATAAATATTTACAAAACTAAAAAATACAAATAAAGAAAAATTAAGAAATCAGTGTGTTACCCAATAGCAAAAAGAGCTCGTGTTCCAATTCCTACCTCGTATCATTTAGGTAGACTACACACTACCACCTTAGGTTCAAAATCTGGAAGACCTTTCTCTCATTTTAGTATTGCTAAAATCTTGGAATATTTTCCAAAGAAGAAATAAAAGAGCTTCCTTGTGAAACAAGACTAGCCACCCAATGTAAGGCCAGAGGTTGTAAGCTAGGATTGGGAGCAGGAGGGAGACTCAACTAAACCAGAAATGCCCTTTTAGCTCTCAGTATTTTAATTCCTCTTCTGTTCACTAGTGTTCCATACTTGAATACAATGATCATCAAAGACATTTTGCTTGCCTACTTCATAACCTATTATTGTCAGGACAAGTTCATCATAGCAAAAGGCATAATAGTCAGACATGAAGTCTGGAGTCGGATTGACCCAGGTAAGTAGTCTCTCCTCCTAGTGACTGCATGACCCTTAGCCTCTCCAAGCCAGTTTCCTCATAAGCAAAATGGGAATTAGCATAGCACCCATGATAGAATCTGTTTGTGAACATTTAATAAAATAATGCTTGTAAAGCTCTTAGATCTGGCATATAGGGCTCAATGAATGCTAATCATTCATTTAAATAATAACATATTTGGCTTTATATATCTTTTTTTAAAATGGGTTCATGTTTTTTGGCCAAGGTCCTAAGATGTCCCAAATTTCTCAGTCAACTCATGAAAAGAGTCCCTAGTACATTTCTAAGAAATAGGTTCAAATAGCATGTAAATAACTTAGTATTTTTCTAGGTCCAGGGAGGAAATCCGTGAGAAGCAGCAGTCTAGACCTTTTCCGTGAAGGGATTTGCTATTGGCACTCCACTAGCTCCCTTCTCTTCCCACCCCCAGCACCTGGAAGGAGGAATTAGTTAGTGCACACTGTTCCTGCCTTGCCCTATGCTGGATGGGAATGCACCATGTTTTTCCATCACATGCTAGATTTTTCTGACACCATCTGTCCTATGCCCATGGCACACAGTTTGCCTTGCTGTCACAACTCTGTGAAAATGTAGAGAAGAAATGTGATGAATGCTTCTGAGGAATGTTGTTTACCTACCAGCCACGCACCAGTGAGTGGTAGGGATAGGGCTGGGTTACCGTGCAGTCTTACAACACTGGGATTCTATGATTAGTCCTATCTAAGATGTCGCAGAGTTGGAATGGCAGAGACAAGGACTGATTCCAAAGATTTTTAAGTCAGTAAGGACCTGCTGCTATGAATCCCACTTTAGCCCTCATTTACAGAGTTCTTAATTTCCACAGGCACTATGCTAATTACCTTCCACATATAACGATCCTCCCAACACCCCCAAGAGGAAGATACTGTTATCATCCACATGTATAGTTAAGAAACTACAGGCTTGTGAATACGAGTTAATTTTCTCCTAGTCACATCGCTAGCAAATATAAGAGTTGGTATGTGAACCTGAGTTCTCTATCTCCAGACTCTCTCTAGTCCCACCACTAAGAATATTTCGTCTCCAAAAAAAAAAAAAAAATTTTTGCCTCCTGGAGTTACACTTCTGTTTTGCTATTGTTGTAGCCCTAAATTGCAATTAAGTTCATTAATGAAATACTTACATTTACACTTACACACACACACACAACTCACACCACCTTAGGTCATGCCTTGTAGGATCTCAGTAAATATCATTGGTTGGTGGTTTGTCAAATGGGGACAATGACCAGGGTGATCAAATAATCTGTCATCCAAATCAGGACCTGTTTGAGAGGGAAAGGGGCCCTACAAAAATTTTTGCTAGGACAACAGCTACAAATCTAGATCATCCTGGACAAATTGGACCACGTGGCTATCCTAGTTAGAACCCTACTCTATCCATTTAATGTTTGAGTTTCCTCTGCGATAAATGCTAGAGCCAGCCTTAGAAACAGTTAAACTGGAACACTACAAATCAGAGCCATCTATCCTAAACACAAACCCAGAAACAGAGACTATCAGAAAGACAACCTGGATGTCACCTGACTTTGTTTTATGAATGCTTTGTGATCCCCCACCCCGATTCCTCAGCAGATGCTGCCTGATTTGTGCTAATGTCACTCATGACAAGAGCATTGCCAGATGCAGTGAGGTGTGAGTGACACCAGGGAAGATGATGAGCAAGGAGAATGGCAGCTGGCTGCATTTCCGTCCTGTAGATTTTTGATGAATATAGAAGCATCCTGATAGAGAACATCTGTACATGCTAGAAGCCAAGCAGAATGCTCTCATCCCAGACTCCGAGCTGAGGACCCTGAAGAGGGCTCCACTCTCGTGACAGGCCTGGAGGGTCCGACGACAGGATGGGGGCTGGCAAGCAGCGCAGCAGCTGCAGAGCTATAGAAACGCTGCAGAGAAGTAGTTAGGAAACCCGAGTGCTCTCTCACTCTGTGCTCCTCACTAGCTTTGTGACTTAGGTGAATTATTTATCATAGTTGAGATTCTGTTTACTAATAATAAACACACACTAAAGCTACCTAAATCAAAAACATAATACAAGCAGGATATTTCCAGGATCCACAGGCATTTCATGGGAGCCAAGGGCAGGGACACAACAGGGTCTCAAGGTTGTGGATAAAGGAGCTAAAAATGCACTGCAGGCCTGGAAGAGAGCACATGATTTCTTTCACTATTGCTTCTTTCTGTCAATCTGCTTCTTTCTCTTCTGTCAGATTTTTTCCACCCATTCTGCCTGATGGGAGACAAGATCACCCATGTTTTCATGGTGTAGGTCCAACCACCAGGAAAGACTGATCCCCAGTTCTCACGCTCATTTCCATGTTAAATTCCCAGCCAATGACCTGATAGCTAGTGTGAGCTGTCTCCGCAAGGCCCCACAAGCATGCGGAGAGGATACAGCAACTTCAGATACTCTGCCTGGCTCACTTCTATGACCCAACAGAAGGTGGACCAGTTCCCATTGCAGGGGGATTGTTTGTGAGCTGAGGTAGTATTTTCAAAGTTAGCTTGTATAACTTCATGCCCTCAACAGTCAAACCTGACTTATCTTCTGTCATTTGATTTTAAGTCTTAAGTGATACCACATACAGGAGAAAAAAGTTGTGGGAGGCAAAGAGCTGTACATCTTTCAGGCACTAGCTGAATACTTAAGTCACCCTGTGAATGCGATGTAAAGCAATCATATCTAAGCCTATATCCTCTAGATTCACAACTTGTAGTCCACCTTCCATGGATACTTGGAAGGTCAACGCCATTGCCAGAAAAAAAAGAAAAGAACATTTTCCTAATGCCAGCAGTGTGGGCTTAGAGTTCACTGACAGGCTGTAGCCCTCTCCCTCTCTAGGTTTGTAATTAATCCCTCTATTTGCATTATGTAAATGGTACATTGTATAATTTTATATTCATGCTTGTTATCATTAATAAACTCAGTTGTTATTTCTCTAACAGAGCTCTGAGATGCTTCATTATTAGAACTGCAAGCAGAACATAAGGGCTGCAGAAAGCATGAATCTTTCGTGATACTGACAGATTTTGTTCACAACCTGCCATAATGATTAATATTACTATTAATTTTGCCAGGCACATTGTCAACATGGGTACTAAGTATGAAGGAAGAAAGACTCCTTTGCCCAAAAACAAATTCTGCAAGGAATGCCACTAAAGAAGGAAAGGACACCCGTCTCACTCAAGCCCAGAGATCATGCCAGTCGATTTGCAGATCCCTACTGAGGCCTATGATGGGTGAAGACTCAACCATGTTGGCTTGTGAACTAATATTCTTGGAGTAGTTTATTGACATATTGATCCCTCTACTTGTGTCTGATCTGAACACGCCCTCCTCCGACGTCCACAGGAAGGACTTTGTGAAAAGAGCACCAGGGGCAAGTTCTGACTCTGCAACCATCGGCCTCACATCCCTCACATTCACAGGGCACGATTATAGCATCTGCCCTCCCTGGCTAGACCTGAAAGAGAGGGAATGCTCTGCCAAGGAGCAGAAGAGAAGAGTTGAAATTCAAGATTTCAGGCATGTTTTGCCCAAGAAATCCTAAAGTGGTGCATGCCTGGGCAAACACGAGCTAGCTTGCACAGAACCTTTGAGAAACTAGGTAGATCCAATACCTGAGGCCTCTGTAGGCTCTCGGTTCTAATAGGAAGAGGGTACAGTACAAGTTGTTCAGTGGTGATACTATCTGAGAGAGGAACGTTTGTGGAAATGAGGAAGGAAAAGTGAGAGAGAGGAACTAAGAAAAGAGGAGGGAAAGGAAGAAAGAAGAGATATGATAACAGTGAACAGGTTCAGTTTAAAGAAAATACCAACTTGAAAAGTGGCTTTTCTTTATACTCCCAAAGGTGCACACCTGCAAACATACAGACAGAGACACACATAGGTACACATTTCCCCCACCCACAGGCACTGCATACAGGGCAGGTAAAAGTAGGTTTACAGTTGTGAGTAGGTGAAACACAATTTGTTCTTGTATTATTATTATTTACTTATTATTTTATTACTAGAGGCCCAGTGCACAAAATTCATGCACTGGGGGTAGGGG